AAAGTACCCTCTTCATAGAGATGCTCTTTGTATAATATGGATAACACACGTAGGTATTGATTAAGCACATTAATTAGAGATGTCTACTTCACACTCCGAGGGCCACATTCAAGCCGCCGCTACACCGAGCTTAGCCGTTGAATAATGCAGACCACGTTACCTTGGTAACCCAGTCCGGACCCCGTCGTTGGTGGATGCAGCATGACAGGTCAGGGAGGATCAGGGTCTTTGGTTCGCTGCGGTTGTCCGATTTGAATAGCAAAAGAACATTAGTACACAGTCGCCAACGTGTGAAATTGCTGGAGAAAACTTTCATAGCACAATCTATAGAGCGTTGGACCCGTGTGGAATACATGTTGGTTTCCGTGGAGCCGGTGTAACCGGCGTAATCAATAGTGCATTCATTTAAAGGTCCAATCCCCCACCCGTATCAGGTTGGCTGTTGGACATCTCGCGTGGTGCTCTGGGGCGGATGGCGTGATGTCTCGATGCCCGGGGGAGCCAGTGGCTGATACTGGGGCCCTTTGATCCCTATTCGTTCCCCCCTGCAAACAATAGATTTTTATTACCAAAGCGCTCCGTCTGCCTCCACTGTCGGAGAATTCACACTATTCGGCGGGACGTATTTGTGTCACTTTAGGTCTGTTGTGCCAATTAGTTGGAGAGAATGTATGAGAACATGATGGTGAGTTTGTGAACAGCTTACAGAAATGAGTGTTTCAGGGGGGAGTGTGTAATGTGGGGGACAGAGAGGTGGGAGTGAGGGGGGGGTTTAAAGCGGCGGACTTGCAGTGCGACTGTAGATCACGGAGGCGTCTCGGACCGCCTGCCCGCAGAGCCCCCCCCCCCCCCCCGCCGCTCTGTTTACTGCTTAGTACCCGGCTGTCCAGTGCAGCATGTGACATTTCATTTTCATTTCACCAGGCAAGTTTTTTGTTTCTGAAAAGCGAACTTCACAATCACAAAACTTGCAGTATCTCCGTCACAGTCGGACAGATATGAACGGTTGTAGATGAGAAGATATTCAGATTCTGCTCAGTGGGTGAGCTTGTGGCTAAAAACCTGAGATGTTAGAATCACATTACGTATCGTGGCATCACAAAGTGGGGCAAGGACGTTTTTGCTGAAGCAGCAACATATGAAAAAAAACATGCATTAAGTCTAACAGTATGCGGGATATATTGGTCTGTTAAAAGTGCATAGGTGTGGATGACGGAAATTAGCTTTTGCTTTCCTGATCCTAAATTCTGTGATACGGTTTGTAGAAAAGGGAGCGAGAACGTGCGTTACAGATGTCTCTCTCTCTGCTCTGTTAGCAGCTGGTTGGGAGGGGGGGGGGCGCCGGTAGTTGTGACAGCAACAAGAGGCCACTGAGTGTGGCCGCTGTGGTGACAACACACCCGAGTGCCTCCGTCTTTAGCTGATGAGTCATTTGAGCTACAACTTTCATTTCCTCCGCCTCGGTTTGTTCACTTTGTCCCACGTCAAGCGCTCAAATCGCTTTTTTTTTTTTTTTACCAAATTCAGTTTTGGTGTCAACTGCTTGCGCGTCGTTTTCATACATCAGGTTGATCGCCCTCCTGGCAAAGTTCTACATATGAATGCACATTATTCATATTACGTTACGATCGCTGTCTGTGTGAAAAGTGATGCTCGGTAACTTCGTGGTTGTTTTATAGGCAATGATGCTTTTGAGCGATATAGTGCGCATGATTTAGGTCTCTCTTTATTTTAAAATGTCCCTGCTTTATATTTTTATGTTAGTTCCGGCTTTTTGTGTAAAAGGATGTGTGTTATGACTATTAAGGCCGGTGCAGGAATGAGAATGAGGCATTTTCAAGGTGTTGAGGAGAATAAAGTGCAAAGGAAGAGTATCACGGAAAGATAATTGGGTCATCTCGAACCAATGGGACATTAAGGCGCCATTGGGCTTCTCTGCCCGTCTTGCTGCCCCCATCTTCATAAAATGCCATGAATCAGGATACCCATAATACCAGGTAATTTAGGGCTGATTAAATCTTAGCCTTTATGGGCCCCCACATACTTCCCAAATAGACAGACAACTACACCTGAGACGTTTGGAAATGCACCTGGTGTCTTCAAGGCCCAGGCGAGCAGCCCGAGCGATAACCGAAACGTGATAGAAATGCACCTCATGCCCGTCTTCTCCCTTCCCACTTTATGCAAATAGTCCTTAATAAAAGCGTGCTCACTCAGGGGCCTCAGGTACAGGCAGGCAGAGGAAGGTCACATTGTAGGGGGAATTATTCCCTTCACGGCATTTTAATGAAAGCCTCCCCCCTCTTTTTTTTTTTTTTTTTTCCTTCTTCCCTTTTCTTCACACTGAGCCGAGCCGGCTGGCTCCTCGTCCTCGGCTCTCTGCTGCATTGTTGGCCCGGGACGCTTTCTGTTTGTTTACTTCTCCCAAAGCGCGGCGGCGGCGGCGACAAGGTCAACTGGGAGTCACGCCGGCCAACCCGAGATGGGCTCTGTGAACCTACCAGCTACGTTCGTTTGGGTGTTTGTCATGTTAAATGTCTGTGGTGTCGTTTAGAGACGGTTGTGGAACTGGGAGTTTCATGCCTATTAAAAGTCTTCTAAGATCAGTAGAATCATACCGATTTTACGCCTCCATCCCTCCCTGCTGCCACCGACTTAAGGGCTGTGTGGCTCCCAAACCCTTCACACATGACGATGAAGAGCGCCTCCCTGCCAGAGTGGGAATGATGGGGGGGGGCTCCGTTTAGAGTTTGTGTGTTGCATTCATGAATGATTTGTTGGATGCAGGGGTTCACTATTTCAAAGGGCCTGAATGTATTGATCCTGTCTCGGATGAGCTGACGCGTCGTGTATCCTCTGAGGTTGTCTCAGCGAGAAAGGAACGTGTGGACGGACCTCGCCGAGCGCTGCGGCTCGCTGAGAAGGATTGAGTGTGAAGATAAATGTAAGGCATCGAAAGCCATTTGTGTTTAGATCGTTTCAACTGGAGGCTCACACTCGCCAGCGTTCTTTCCCCAAAACTGTATCAAATACTCAAAGAGAGGCATTGATCATTCTATCCTTCTAATAACTAAGTTAATAAGTGGACCTTGAGTTTAGTTTCTTGAGTTACGGTCGAGCATTAACTTGATATTTGCGACCATTCGGCCTCTTGATCACTTTTAGTTTTTTGCAAAGCATTCTATTTTACACATGTGGCCCCTTTTGGCAGCTCATCGCCGACGCAGAGTCTCTTTTCTCGCGCTGGAAGCCGCCTTCGTTAATGGATGGCGGCATGCCAAACACGTCTCCACGTCGGAGTAACCATATGTTTGTGCGCAGCCATTAATCTCCAGGCTGGATGTTGACTGTTCCCGCTTTGCCCCGTCCTACCCGACTCACCGTCCTCCGACTCTCACTTCCTGTTACGTTAATAACGCCGGCTGACCACCACACGCAGATGGCTGTCAGCCAGGCGAGGGGGGGGGGCAGAAGGGACCTGTCGACCCCTGCAACCCCCCCCCCTCGCCCCCCTCCCACATACACACACTTCTGCTGTCTTTCATACAGTGACAAAGGGCAGCACACACAGCCAAGTGTGTGGGAGAGCGTCGTGGTCAAAGACAACAGGCCCCCGGTGTGGCTCTCCTGAGGGACCCTTGAGATGGCTCACAGGGTGACCCAGTTCCATCACGCCCCCCCCCACACACTTGCTCAGCCGCGTCTGTTTTAAAGTTCAGGTCCTTTGCTGTAGATATCGGCGTCCTTCTCAGTAGCAGACGGGTCGGGTCAAGTCGCTCTCTCTCTTTGTGCCCCCCCCCCACACACTTTACAGCCAACATTGAGGGGGGGGGTTGCAGCTTCTCCCATAACTCGGCCGCTGTTAGCATCGCTTACCCGAGGGATTAAAACAACGACCAGGATGTACCTCCTGGTTCTTAATTCACTCAATGTTTTTTCTGCCTTTACAGCAAATAGCTGAACTGCAATGCAGCAGCACCAGTATGGGACATTAATATTAATGTCCTCCCATTTTGCCCAGCGTGGCAGAGAGCCTGTCAATCGAGGCTTCTATTGGGCTCCCCACACCAGCAAACACCTGCGCAGCACTCGAGTGCCTGCTTCTGTCACTAGAAGGCGCCGGTCTGCCCGTATAGTGTTGCAGGCGTGCATTTATTGGCTAGTCGTTCGACATATAGGAGAGTTTTCCAGCCAATCCACAACGCACAAATGTTAAACATTGCACCAATAGAAGGAAGAAAGAACAAAGGCTCCATGTGGGACAATTGCCCTTGATCCTGATGGAAACTGTTGTAAAGGGGAAAAAAAGAAAAGAGAACTGCATTCCAGTAATGTCTATCAGTGATACTTGAAATAAAGCTGCAAGAGGGATGTTTAACCACTGGGAAGGAGTTTTATGTCTTCGCTACAGCCAAGAATCCTTTCTTGAATAATCTGCTTGTTTAAGTCTCAACTCATACCCAGTGGGAAATGCTGTGAATGAAATTCCTCAGTACAAGTATTGTCTTCGCGATAAGCCCCTTCCCCCGAGATGCAAAATCTACAGTATGCAAGCAAACAACCCTCTGTAACAAAGGCGACACACATTGAATGTGAGATTAGGCAGAATGGGTGCGGTTGCGATCTCATTAAGCAGTGCTTCGCTGCATAAGTG